TAAGTCATGCACGCCCGCAGTTCCGCATCATCAAAGCGCTGTGTTCCAAGCCAGGTCTTCATCCTTGGAAACAAGTGGTAGTTGCTTGGTGCAAGATCGGGGCTGTAGGGCGAATGAGGAAAAATCTCCCACTTGAAAGCATTCAGGACTTCTCGAGTGCGATTTGCTGTGTGTGGTCGGGCATTGTCATGCAGAAACAAAATTTTTGAGCTTAATTTTCCTCTACGCTTGTTCTGAATTGCTTTTCTTAGTTTTTGCAACGTTTCACAATACCTCACAGAGTTTATTGTTGCACCATGTTCCAGAAAATCGATAAGAAGCACACCTTGTCTATCCCAAAAAACAGTCGCCATAATCTTCCTTGCAGAGATAGTTTGCAAACATTTTCTTAGTTTTTTGGGGGAATTTGTCTGCCCCCACTCCATAGACTGCAATTTGGTCTCACTGTTCACATGTTTGACCCATCTGATTGCACCTCACAACTCGCGGGATTTTCAATTGCAGCACACATTTCAAATGTTTGCTGTGAAATAACGGGCAACGATACGAACTTCCCACTAGCACAACTAGATGTAGACTGAACGGCGGATGCACAGACCAAAGATGGCCAGGCTAGCTCCTCCCCTTCTTGCTACAGATGAAAACGTAATCTATTTTGTGGATAACCCTCGTATTTTAGTCAAGAATCGATGCTCTCTTCTCATCTCTCTCACTCTTCTGGGTACTTGTTTCAAAACCACAATCTGCTTATCTTTATATTTCAATGTTTTCTCTTGCCACCTGCAGTGTTTGCATTTTAATAGCTTTCTTTGTAAATCTGATGTGAACTTGTCTTGGTAAAGAGAAGTTCTCTTTTCACAAGGTACACAATGAGAGAAGAACTTCTCTCATTGTGTACCTTGTGAAAACTCGAAAGACCTCATCTATTCCATCCATCATCTTCTCTTTAGTTATTTCCAGAGCTTCAGCCAAGATTTCTATCATTATTTCTGCCAAGTTTTGTCCCTTTTCTTCCTCTATGTTTTGGAATCTAAGATAAAATTCTGATCTGTCCATCTCCCTTCCCAGCATCCCACTTTTATCTTGTTCAACCACAGTTAATCTGCCATCAATATCTCCAATCTTCTTATCTCTTTGATTATCTTCTTCCTCAATTTTTTGGAATCTCTCATCATATTTCATCATCATTTGTTGAATATTCTCCACCTTTTCATCAGTTTTCTCTGTTCTCTTTTCAATATTCTCTGTTCTTGCTTGTATGTTTTGAATTCCTTGCATTATCATCTGCAGCGTCACCTTTTCCTGTTCTTTTTCTTGTTGTAACATCATCTGTATTGAATGTTGTCCTCCATATGGTGAAGAGGAAGAAGTAGGAATTGAAGAACCAGCTGCTGTTTCCTGCTCATTTCAAACAATTCAAAATCTTCAGGTTCTTCTAGACCTTAATCTACTCGTTTAATGACCAATTGTAACAGTGAAGTAAAAAGGAAGCAGAGTAAAAAAAAAAATTTCAGGTTCTTGTCTTAATCCGCTCAATTGGTTAAAATAGCAGGAAAAATAAAAAAAGAAGAAAAAAACCATAAACAGAAAAAGGAAAAATTGTTAAGTATTGTGGGTAGCAAGAAAAAATTGTTAAGTTTTGTGGGTAGCAAGAAAAATAATGAAATAAAGTGCTTCGGGTTTGTCTCAAGTATAAAAAGGAAAAAAAAAGCCAGAGAAAAAACCAATATAGGAGGTGGATAAAAAGATGAGAAGGGAGAGAAAAAAGGAAAAAAAAAACTACTCCCTTAAAAAGAAAAAGAAAAAATTAATACTAAGATTTTCCTTTTAAAATAAGATGCAAAAATAAAAAATAGACTCCAAAAGCAAAAAACAAAAAAAACCAAATTCCAAAAGGCCAAAGGTCCAAATAACTATCAAAAATAGTAGACTAATAAGGAGGGGGTTTGTTAAAGTAGAAATTAGCCCAACGTTAAAAAAAAAAAAAAAAGTGAAGGAACACACTGCACCTATTTAATTATCCAAGGCTTTTTGTTAAGTTCCAAACTATTTTATAACTCTCTTCTCTAGAGTCCTACCGTCTTCTTTCTATAAGTTTCAATACCAGACTCCAGCCACTGATAGAAACCCAGAGGAGCACCTACAATAACACTCTCCCGTGCTCTTCCCTCTATCTTATCAAACAGGCTCAAAGTCCTTGAAAAGAAGCCTCAGATCTTTCTCAGCTTTGTCTGGTCAAAGAGGGGAAAAAAAGGAAACAATATTTCTAAGCCTCTAGTTGGCAGTGCTACATATTTTCCTCTACTTTCACTTTCCCCCTCCTTTTCCAAACAAAATGTAATTTAAAAAATTATTTAAAAATGAAGAAAAGTCTTAAAAGAAAAAAAAGCTGAAGGGGAATCTCTAGCATAGAATATTATAAAGCCAAAAAAAGAAAGATAAAAAAGAAAACCACTCCAGTTTAAAAGTAAAAAAATCATACATTAAAAGTCCAGCAATAAAAAAAGAAATATTAATTTTGACTTCCTGTTTAAAATTGCCATTTAACCACTTCTGTCTCAGATTTTACAAATTCTTTCTTTTCCTTAGGGTGTTCTTTTAAATCTTAAAGGAAAAACTCTCACCAAACCGGCACACTTTCTCTTTCCATTCTCTCCCGTTTCGGAGCTGTTCCAGCTTCAGCAGCTTTAATGGCTGCCTCTTTGCTGCTGGCAAAAAGAGCTTCTCCTGGATCTACCAGGGACTTTGCAGTATCCCTGGGATCGACAGGATGCTCTCTTTACATTCATTGTCTCTTCGGGATGGTTTAGATCCATTTGGACCATCCAGAAGCAAAGATATCGGCGGCGATCTCAGATCTTCAAGATCACACGCCGTATCATCGCGACGCCAGCTCCACCCTCTTTTCTCAACTTCATCTTCTTAAATATGTGTGGATTCGTCTGCCAGAATGCTGGCTGGGGAATTCTGAGAATTGAAGTCCATGCATTTTAAAGCTGCTAAGGTCGAGAAACACTGTCCACCTGCATGTATGTTTATGTTTCTTGCATGTCATACAACTGCTTTGTACTTGACATTGTCAAATGTGAAATTCAATAATCTTTGTGCTCTCTTAGGCCCATCAATTTTTTTTCCTGAATTCTTCGGCCAATTGTTATTTTTCTGTTTTTTTAGTGTTATAAAAATAATACTAGAAGCCTAGCTTTCCGACTTTCAGCCATCCAGATGTGTTGGACTATCCATTTATATGAATTCTGAAAGTTGTAGCCCATCATATGTATTAGTGGAAACTTCCTAGCCCTCCTTTAGTCAAAGAAATTCACTGGGTGACTTTAAACCAGTCAGCATCTGATTCCATTCTTACTGCCTTTGTCTATTTATCCATCTATCCCGGGATCAGCAACCTGTGGCTCTGGAGCTGCATGCAGCTCTTTGGACCCTCTGCAGTGGCTCCTGTCATGGCAATGGCATAGCTGGAGCCTTAACACAGGAACGAAGTGCCCCTGCACTTGCCTGTGCGCAGCAATAGCATTCCGCCTTTGTCGCTGTTCATTTGCTGTTGCTGCCAGCAAAGAGTGCTGGGAGAGAATGGTGGGAGCGGATCTTGAGGGGTGGGGGCCATCCCCCAAGCTGGGCCTTCCTCTTCCCTTGTTGGCGGTACCAAGAGAAAGAAGGGGGCCACATGGAGAAGCACTCCTCTTCCCCACCAAGTGCCGAGCACAACAGCCCAGCAGGATATGGGGGCAGCCCAGGGGGATATGGCCTGGCAGAAGCGCCCCCATTGGTGAGTTGGAAGTCAGAGACATTGGAGTGTGTCTTCTGACGCTCCGCCACTCACATACAACTCTCTGCGATCCTCCAGGCCTGGCTTGCTGAGTGGGGGGAGCAGCCCTGACTCCTCTGCTACCCCACCCCAGCTCCAGCCATTGCTGCCCGGGAAAAAGCAAGCAGAAGCAGTTCTCTCTAGGGTGAAAGAGCTGAGATTGAGAAAGGCACAGTCAACAGAAAGCTGCATGTTTCAAAGGAGAAACATGCCTTTGAAATGCACCACTTTCGGTTGCCTGTGCCTTCCCCAATCTCATCTCCTTTGTCTCAGCAATAGCAATTTCTGTTTGCTTTCTTTTCCTGTGCCTTTCCCCAGCAGTGATGGCTGGGTCCCTAGGGGAGAGCAGCAGAGGAGTCAGGGCTGCTCTCCCCCATCAGCAAGCCAGGCCTGGAGGAACATGGAGAATTGCAGGTGAGGGCTGGAGAAATGCGGGTTGGGAAGTGGAGGTGGGGAGTGAGAGGGAGGAAGGGAGGGAAAGAGCGAGGGAGAGAAAGAAAGAAAGAGATGGGGGTGAGAGGGAGATAGAAAAAGAAAAAAATGAGAGAAAGATGAGGGAGACAGAAAAAGGGAAAGATGAGAGAGAAAGATGAGAGAGGAGGGGAGAGGGAGATAGAAAAAGATGAGAGAAGGATGGGAGAGGGAGGGAGACAGAAAAAGGGAAAGATGAAAGAGAGACAGAAAGAAAAGAGAGGGATGGGAGGGAGAGGAAGATAGGGTGATAGAAAAAGAGAAAGAGATGAGAGAAAGAAAATGGGAGTGAGGGGGAAAGAGATGAGAGAGCGAAAGAAAGATGAGAGGGAGAAAGAGAGATGAGAGGGAGGGAGGGACAGGGAGATACCTATTTCCCATAGAAAAGAAAACCTGGGAAGCCACAAAACTTGGGTAGGCATGGCTGGGGAGGAGTTCATGTGACTGGGTGGGAGAGTGATGTTGAGTTAGCCATGGTCACCCAGGTTTTGTGGCTCTCGGTGTTTTGTTTTCTGTGGGAAACAGGCCCAAGTGGCTCTTTGAGTGTGTTGCAGACCCCTGATCTATCCACACTTAAACTGGGCATGGTGTGTGTGTGTGTGTGTGTGTGTGTCACACATACATATATATATGTATGTATGTAGTGTGTGTATACACACACACACACACACACACACACACATATTTCCAAATCTTTTTTCACTAGGCAAACAATTTTCCAAAAGCTGTTGCAGCTGCACATACATTTCTTCTGAAACATCCGGATGATGAAATGATGAAAAGGAATATGGCATATTATAAAAGCATGCCTGATGCTGAAGATTATATTAAAGATTTAGAAATCAAATCATATGAGGTACTGTTTCTACCCTTGTTTATGAACATTTCTGATTATATTCTGTAAAAATATATAAAAATAATAATTTTAGCCTCCCATAATTTCTTATTTTCATTTGTAAATTGTAATAATAATAGTTTTATTAAAAATGCCTAATTTTGGTCCCTTGACAATCCATTACATTTAATTTATTAATTTCAAAATATTGGTGGAAGGAAATTCTTTAATACAGGACTTTATTAGAAAATCCCATAAATCTAAGGCAATGTAAATTTCATGGGGAAAAATATGTAATTGTTAAGTTATCTATTGGAGAGATAACCTCTTTGGATCTGCTGCCCAAGAAAAAGAGAGAGTGAAGCAAAGCAAAATTTAAGTTTCATAAGCTTATAGTGATATACTCTTAAATTAGGTCATTCAAATAAAATGTTTGTCACATTCCTTCAGTTTTTTCTTGCCTTTTAGACTCTCTTTGTCAGGGCAGTAAGGGCCTACAATGGAGAAAACTGGAGGACCTCAATTTCAGACATAGAACTGGCACTTCCTGATTTCTACAAAGCCTATGATGATTGTACAGCTGCCTGTGAAGGCTCCCGAGAGATCACAGATTTTAAGGAGTTTTATCTGTCTATTGCAGGTGATTCTTTTTTAAAACATTTTATTATATTTTTATTTTTAAATATACATCAATATCAATACAGTGTGGTCCCTGGGTATAATTCATTTTGATACAAATATCAGTAATGATAATCATATAGTTGTTATATTAATCAAACTTATATAATCCTAGTATTAATATACATGGTTTTTTAAAAGTAGTTATTCAATATTTCAATATTCCATTTTAATGCCAATGATGTTATAAGCATACATGATAATACCACCTTTCACCCTCTAGTCTTTTCCATCAAATTATTACTTCTATTATAAAAAAAAATTATATCTGCTAATATTCCCCCTATTTCTAATTTCTGCCTTTATTCTAATCAGGTTACCATTGTTAATCCTAATATTAATACACATGTTTATATAAGATATAGTCATTATTTAATTGTTCAATTTCACAATACATCATTGAAGTACCAGTCTTCCTATTATTTAAACATACTTATACCCTTTTTCAGCCTCCAATCTTTCCATCTAACTATGGCTTCATATAAAGGTGTGTATTCTTATTTTTACCGCTATACAATTTTCTAATCAGGCCATCATATTAGAAGAAAAGAATTAATTAATATGTGTAAGTGTGTGTGTTTCCTTTCTATCCATTATCTCTCATCCATTTTAATACTTATTAAAATGGATGAGAGAATATTTAATTCTTATTCATTTTTTAGCTTGCTTCCCATACTCCTTTCTTGAATCTTTATCTCTATCAACATCTATCTATATGTTCACCATTCAGACTGAATATTTCTTCCATCTCTATTCTCCTAAGCTGCCAAGTCTCCAGAATATCCACCCAAGCCCCTATCGCCCTATGAAAGGGTTTCTTGAAAGAATCCTTACTTTCTAAATTTCACATGCACGATATGTTTTATAATCAGTTTTCAGCCAATGGGGAGAGGAGGAGTGTGAGAATAAGAATTACAAATGAAGTTATTCATATTTTAAATAAATATGGTTATTCAAGTGATTATATAGATGAAGTTCAAAACATAAATTAGGCCTACATATACAGTATGTATTTTCTATTTCATATTTAATTAAATTTTGACATAATATCAAGTTTTTGCTACAAATAGAAAACAGGAATTTCCATATGTCTCTTTCTGACATAAAAGAAGTCTAAATATAATATTTATAATCACTTATTAAGAAAGGTTTTGCTTCTGCAAAAAAATGTTCTTTTTCTTCTCTTTCTGTCCTACCTGTTTAGCGTATACATTGAATGAATTGGTCCTACAACATGATGACACATTAGGCTGAGAAATAGTTAAAATCTAGATTGGAGAGAAAAAAAATCAGTCAAGATATCAATCTGTGAAAATAAATTTTGACTGAAATTGCAATCAAAACCATAGTAATTAGATAGTATAATGTAATTACTTAATTATGGGAAACATAGCTATGTTAGTGAAAAAGCAGTTAGTACAAGTTGTGCTGTCTCAGCCAGTCTATGAGTTGGGAGAAGAGAGCCCAGATACACGGGTCAAGGCCTACGTGGATGAGCAGCACTCGCTTTGAAACGAGCAGATGGAACCACCTCAGTTGCCCAGCAGTCTCCCACAACCAGAGATGCACAGGGATAAATCTCAACCACAGACTACACATCAGTTATGCTACTGGCGTATGACCTAAAATATGAGATTCATTTCCCACCAACAGCAAACCTTTCCCAACTTATGTTGTACATACTAAGGTCCGAGATTCTCTTCCCAGCACCAGCAACCCTACTGCAATGTCTCACACCCTGCTGGCCGAGCAGCGTAGCCCGCCAGTGCTCATAACTTCTCGATGAGTCGACATGCCATCAACGACAACTGCCACACTCAATCCACAGGCGGCGGCATTCCTGCCACAACCTCAATACCAATCTGGCTCCCAGGCACCACAAGGTAACTGCGCCCAGCCTACACAGTAGCGTGACGCTCGACCATCATCCCCAGTATGGGAGAACGACATCCTCCGTAAGTACTGGGAGGAAGTCTACAACCCGTCATTGACTTACAACCCGAACCCACTCTATGAGAATCCAGGAGAAGAACCCTCTACATCAATACCTCCCCCCAACTCAGCAAATGCTGAAGATTACTGGAGAAACTTGGCTGTACAAAGTGGAAAGCTAAATTTGCACGCCAACGGAGTTCGCAGATTCTCTGTCAAGCCAGGCGGCGGCGAGTATCTAGTATGGAAGAAACTTCCTGCGGCATGCCTGAACCCTGATGAAATAATTGGACACTTGATAGCATGGCTAGGGCCACAGTCTGCCGAAATACTGAGGGCACTTTTGGCATCCCACTTAGATGACCCAGCTGCTGCCCTACGGTTATCATGAAAAAGGCTTGATGAACTGTATGGCGCTTCTGAGGACGTAGAAGCAACACCCTTGGATAGCCTCAACAGTTTTTCTAAAATTCCTATCGACAAGCCTCGCCGAATCATAGACCTTGCTAACATACTTGTCCAACTAAGAACGGCACAATGGGATCCCAGCTTACCGGCACTTGCCTGTCTCGATCACGTCAACACGCAGAACAAAATTGTTCGAAAACTTCTGCAGGTGCTAATTGAAAAGTGGTTCCAGTTGACTGACACCTTCATTGCCAAGGGTCATCACCACTTTGTACCCTTCACACTTCTTGAAGAATTCATGTCCCACCAGGCAACAGTGTGCAACACACACCAGGCCCATGGACTCAGAGCTGTTAGTCCTCCTAGTCACAGAAGATACAGCGATCATATATTGCCCTCATGGCCTATGCACACTACCAGGGAAAGACCTTTCATGGTTGTCCATAAAACCAAGATCGACTCCTCATCCACACACAGTTGGGGAGAGAACTCATCGAGATACAACCCAATTTAGATCTCTGAACACAAGGAGAATACAGTTTTGTCCTATGCACAACACTCATCACTCGCTGAACAGCTGCACTGGGTTTGCAGAGAAATCACTGACCCAACGAAAAGAGTTGCTAAGGGAGTACCAATACTGCTACAAGTGTTGCAATTCCAAACACATGTCCAAGTACTGCACAGCCAAGGTGCAATGCGACTTATGCAATAGTGACCAGCACCCAACCACGCTCCATCCAGACTCCGAGCCGCCGCCACAGATATCCTGTAGCCCTCCTTCAGACAAGGAGCCTCAAAGTAACACAGAAGTGTGCAGGGCTCCTCGGCAGATTGCCAAACCACAACCAAAACCAAGGATGAGTGTCAACTGCACAGCACTGCATGCTGACTCACCGTGCCCTCATTCGTGTCTTCCCATCTGTTTAGCCAAAGTGTATCCTGAAGGATGCCCTGAAGATGCCGTGAAAATGTACATGCGGATAGACACTCAAAGAACCTGCACTCTGGCCAGACCCGCATTCCTTGACCTCTTTGAAGTGCAACGGAACAAACTTCCCTTCACTGTATCAACATGCCATGGACCAAGAAGCACGGCAGGGAGGAGAGCTACTGGATTCTGCATAGAGTCATTGGATGGAAGTTCCCGGTTCCTACTACTGCCTGTATTTGAATGAGATGGGATACCGAACGGCCGCAGTCAGATTGCAACACCTGAGGTCATAAGCAGCATGCCTCACCCACAGCATGTGGCTCATCACTTCCCCGCTCTAGATCCGGAGGCTGATATCCTACTCTTGCTGGGAAATAATGCCCACGCGCTTTTCTCTTCTCCGAGTCAGTCGGCGGCCCTGTAGACGGCCCAGTGGCCATCAAATCTCCACTAGGATGGGGGATCATAGGAATTGTCAGTGTTGCTCAGATGCAGGCTCCAACCCAGGCAAATGCCTTAGCACCATCCATTCCAACAGCCTTCTGATGCCCTTTAGCACCATCGAAAACAAGAATGACATTCCAGCCTAAGAAGCCACCGCCGATCAGTACACTTTCGCTAGGACACCCTAAACAGCCAACAACCACCAGACGTCCACTAAGATGCTCTACAGAAGCATATGCCTACGCAACAACCTTTCCCGAAGCCCTTTGACACTGGAAGCAAGAGTACCGTTCCAACCCTAAAAGGCCGCCAGAAACAACCACCAGACTTTCACGATTGGTACCAAGAGTATCTGTCAACCCTAAAAGGCCTCTGGAAGTGACCAGCAGACTTTCACCTTTGCCACCAAGAGTACCTGTACACCCTAAATCCCACCAGAGGTGACCAGCAGACTTTCACCTTTGCCACCAAGAATTTCTGTACACCCTAAAAGGCCTCCAGAGGTAACCAGCAGTCTTGCACCAAGAGGCCGAACTTGAAGATTGAAGATTGAACCTTTACTGCTTATGTTTGTTTATAGTTAATTTTTTTTCTCTCTTCTTTTAATAGTGGAATTTACAATTCTAGGCGGGGAGTGTGCTGTCCCAGCCAGTCTATGGGAATTGGATAGTTACTTAGGAATTATGAGCTGTCCCCTTAAGGGAATGCATTATGGTAAATGTAGTTAAAGGTATCCTGGGAAATGTAGTTCATGTCACATGGCCACATCTGTAATCCTGATTGGTCACTAAATTGACCCTCGAAGGGTGGGGGAGGTTTTCGTCATTCTTTGTCTGAACTCTCTAACTCATGGCAGCTTCTTTCTATCGCTACAAGATCGGTTAGGAGATAACCATCTTTTCCTACAAGGCAGATATACAAAGGATTGGTCATTAAAGAAGAACTTCATCACAAATGTGAATTAGGAGGATACCTGATGAACCAATAAATGTAATTTGTTAAGGACGTCTTGTTGAGTTATCTATCTGCATCTGTACAGTTTACAAATCCATCTCTGTGCAGAAGGCAGAAAACAAGTTAACAACATGGTTCATGAAAATATATTGGATTTTTTTTTATTAAACGAATTTTATTAATTTTTAAAAACAATACACAAACAAAACGTAAAATATAAAAACATAAGACATCTTTTCTGAAAAACAAATAAAACATCTTATAAAGACAGCATAATTCCCAATTATCAC